GGATTAGTTAGGAGTAGGATAGATAGTATTGACCAGACTTTCCATCGCCTCCCTTGTATACATTAGTTAAATGAAGCCATTTTGAGGGGGTGGGGTTGAAAAACAGGGTGTCAGTAAATGTGGTGGTCGTGAAATAATTAAAAACAAGTCTTTCGAATTATAACAAAACAAAATCGAAAATCATGCCATACATTTAAGTAAATTGTGAGTAACTAGCCAAATCCTCGTCTTACGAACATTTCTCTTAATGGTAATTTTAAAATAATTCAGCGGACGATGTAATTTATGGTAACTGTATTTTAGGCGATTGCCTTACTCAATTTCGTCGTTTTATACTGATCGTCTGAAAAAGGCGGCTTTAATTGCGGTCGGCATAACTTCTCGGCCTTTGGCTGGGATCAGAGTATAATATCGGGCGGATAAACTACATTTCATCTCTCAGCAGTGTCTCTGTATTCGGATAGAGCTCAACTCACCAACTGATATATAAGCATATAAGATAAGATAAGATTTATAAGCACCTCACCGAGAGAGGGTAAAGGAATCTCTCATATGCACGCGAGAAGAATATCCTTGTTCGGAGAAAACTCCCAATACCACACACACACACACACACACACACACAGATATTAATTGATGTATGCGGGGTTTTTGTAAAAAATAATTTTACCTATGGAGATATAATTTTTTGTTCTCAGTATTCTTTCAGAAATAACGTTACAAGGCCGCAATAAAACCTCACTGAGTGCTCTCTATTTGCCACCTTATGCCATGCTAAGGCAAACAGGTATCAGTTTGAAAGCTGTAAAGAAATAAGTGACGAATAAAGAAATGAATACATAAAAAAAAAAAATCAGAACAGAATTTCGTGAAAGAAAAAACAAGAAATTCGAAAGCAAGAATGACTGAAATAATCAAGAAAAAAAGACTTACTAAAAACAAAACAAAACCAACGAACTAAAAAAAAAAACACTAATTTTTCTTGATGCTGTCAAGTGTTGATATCGTGGTTTCGACCATCAAACAATAGCAACAAGCGGCACAGACGAGGTCTTCACTGACCTGTGATATCACATCTCTTGTTACCAACCGCCAACAGATCACACAGAAGGTGCCCTAACCAAACACCTATCTTGTGTCTCCTGTTCCAGTGTACAATGACAAACCGAGACAGTCGGCTCAATAAAAATGAACAGCAGTCACTCGGGGGGAAAAAAAAGTCAACCATGTTTTCACTAAAAGTTACAGCCAAAGCCCCAAGATCTAAATCCATAGTCATAAATCTTCAACAACTTCTTTTCCCGCTCGAATAATTTTGTTTCGTCAACTATTATAATAGCGAAAACAGTGAAGCAGTTGTACATAGTCCAGGATTTTTGAGATAAAACGGATCTGAGTTCGAATCGTGGTTGAGACCTATTCTTTAGTTTATATCCGCGTTGAATGTGGTTGCCAGTTGTTACATGAGGAAGAATTTTAAATCACCTCTGGTCACCAATTTGTAGGGTGGGGGGCTTAGAAATTGTAATGGCAAATGTTGAGGTTGTAAACTTTCAAAATAAATTAATTCAACACAAGGCAGATTTCTTATACATATATAAAGAACAACATAATTCATAACTGAAGAAAAAGAAAAAAATACATTTACGTTTGGCGAAGTTTGTTGGCAGACAAGGCGGAGTTATCCTAAATGTTCTATTTACCGTGGAATGATGGTCTGAGTAGTTGCTATATAAAGCAACTGAAATTAATATGACCTCGACCTAGTTTCGGACTCTGGGCGGGTAGAACGGGTTGACTATCTCGAATACAGAGCCATCCTCCACTCGTCAAACTAATGCGAGAATCAAGTGGGGTCAGCTTTGGTAAGCAGAACTGGCACTTGGTTTGACCAAAATCTTGTGAGTGAAATTGGGTAGAAGAAACTGTTTGGAAAGTTGCGCTAGCTCAAAGCCACAAGTCAACGTGTGCGAGGGTTTGATCATAGTGGTCTTGTTCACTAACTGATCACGCCATAATATTCTCTCTCTCTCTCTGAAGCTGTAATGTGAGTTTAGCATAACTGTAGTAGAGGTACTGGCATGAGATCGCTGGAAAATGAGCATAGCATGATAAAAAAGGCCTTAAACATGGCGAAATAATTTTTATTTGTCTAAATGTCTATGTTATATTAATAAGAAAAGATCAATTTGATTATTTTTTTTACATTTTTAATCATTTCGAAGACTTCCAAAATTGTTGTTTAAAATCATGTTTTTTTTTTTTAGTCCGGAAAAATCAATCGTCAGCCATTTTTTTTATCAATTTTGTAAACACAAGTTAATTTTTCCGTTTAAAATTCTGTCAAAAAACAGTTACACTTTTATTTAAATGTATTTTTACAAAATTAGAAATTTTAAAAGTTTATTTAATATATTTTAAAAGAAAACATTACTTACTTTATGCGCTGAAAAATGTACTTTAAAACAAGAGACAGCGGATCTTAACAGCGGTGACACAT